TCCTCCAGTGGGGGATGGAGTTGGAGCAGCGCACACAGTTTCTCCCGCACACAGAGCACTTGTAGAGCTGCACTTACTGCTGCCTCTGTTGCTGTTTGGGCACTTCATATGTCTGGGAGACACTCTTCCCACTCTTGGGACACTGTTAGGGGCTCTCCCCAGCATGGATCCACTGAGGGGTGATGCAAGTGGAAATCTTCCTAAATCCCTTCCTACACTCAGCGCTGCCGAAGGGCCTCTATTCTGTGTGAATCTGCTGATGCTTGAGGAGACGATATCTTCTCTGAAACCTCTCCCCACACTCAGAACACTCATAAGCCTCTCCCCAGTGTGGATCCTCTGGTGGACTCTCAGGTTGCATCTCTGGCTAAAGCTTTTCCCACATTCCCCGCACTTGTAGGGCTTCTCTCCAGTGTGGATCCTCTGGTGGACCATCAGCTTGAAGTTCTGCATGAAGCTCTTCCCACATTCTGAGCACATGTAGGGGCTTTTCCCAGTGTGCATTGCCTGGTGGATGATCGGGAGAGTGCTGTCATGGAAGCCCTTCCCAAATTCCCCACACACATAGGGTCGTATCACTGTGTAGATCATCTGGTGATGATTCAGGTAAGAGATGTTTGTGAAGCCTTTCTCACATTCTCCACATTTATAGGGCCATTCCCCAGTGTGGATCCTCTGGTGGCAGACCAGGACGGAGCGCTTGGGGAAACTCTTCCCACATTCCAAGCACTGGTGGGGCTTTTTGCCATCACCGTGCTCCTTATGGACCACCACTTCAGAGCCCTGGCCAGATCTCTGGCTGCCTTCTGTTGCAGAAGCTAGATAAATATGATTATCCATAAATAACACAGCCAGGATGAGAACAGTTTTCCCAGCTAGCCGGAAAACAACCCTGCCTACATATGGGTCCTGGGGTCAAGTGGACTGTTCCATCTCACACCCCAAATGATGTATGGTTCACCCCGCACCTCTTTCCCACCCCTAAAACATCAAGTGCCTGTAACCCCATTGGCCCGAGCCTTGTTCCAGCCCACCTTGAAGCTCCTTGAAAAGGGGGTTTTGAGGGGCCACACGCTCTCTTGGAACTCCCTCCCCTCTGTGGAGTTGCGTTTTTATATGTTTTATTACATCTTTATTCTGTCATGGTTTGTTTCAGTGTACCCCCATACTGTATTGGTGTCATGGTTTTACACGGAATGAGAATTTTTTCTGGAAGGAAGAGGTCAATTTGGATATTGACCAATTGAAGGTAGACACGCCTCTGAGAACACAGAGGGGTTAAAAGCAGAATTCCCAGGAGAACTCGTTCTCTTTGGTTCCAGTCAGCGCGCAGTGCAGCCTCTCCCCTGCCCAGCGACGAGCTGGGTGGGGGAGGGGAAGGCCGATGGCCTGACTGAGGTAGGC